GTTCTTTTTCATTAAAGGTTATTACAAGATATTGAATATAGTTCCCTGTACTCTACAGAAGAAATTTGATTTTTATCTATTTTTTTATATAGTGGTTAGCATTTGCAAATCTCAAACTCCCAAATGTATCCACTCCCACCCCCATAAGATTGTTTACTGTGTCTGTGAGTCTGTTTCTATTCTGTAGATGAGTTCATTAGAAATTTGTCTTTACTTTGATTCATCTCTGGCTTTAGCTCAGTCTTCCTTACCAGGGAGGGTGAAAAGGACTCTTCCTTCTGCTGATCGTTTGGCCAAAGTCTTTCCCTGAGAAGTTCAAGACAGCAAGCGCATGGCCACTGAAGACCACAGGCTCTCGGATTGTGCTTTGTACTATTTTATTCTGATAGTAAGAAGCGCTGCCTTCAGCGCTGTGGAGATCTGCCCTGAGTCTTTCTGATGGGCAGGTTCCCCCAATCATGTTCTCAGTGGTTGCTCCGCAACCCTTGACCCAGTGCTGGTGGGCCCGAGCTCACGCTCCTGGCTGTGCTGGCGAGCTGGTGCTTGCTCGTGGTCTCAACTTGCCCGCCCTTGTCTCTTGCATAATAAGACTCCTCTCTGCCCAATGTTATTTTTAATCAGGAAAATGAATGCTAAAATCTATTGTGCTTAGGCTGGAAATTTTTTCTTTAGTATGTTTATCAGAGTCTTGGTGGTGGCTCACCTCTGAGAATTGATGCCCTCCTGACTCATTAATTATTCCCCTTGTAGGTGAGGCATTTTCCCCACCTCCCGATTCTTGAAACTCAATTATGTAACAGTGCGTCGTGCTCAGCAAACTTTATGTCCCCAGGGGTGGCTCAGAGATATAAAAGGAATATTGTTAAGGCTGGAACACTGCTTTGGTGATTAGAAATGGATGGAATATTAGCTCTCAACCCTCCTAAACTCATCACAGAGGAGAATAAAGGGGTGGAGCCTCCTAGGTTCCTCCTCTGTGTTGACTTCTGAGCCTGCTGAGCTGGAGGAAGCAGGACCCATCCTCCACCCAGGACAGCTCCGTTCCAGATTTAACTGGAAAAACCTCTGAAATCGCCCTCGCCCATCCCTCCCCACATCTGCTCCCCCTTGTCTGGGTTAAGAAGGAATTGCTGAGACAAAGTATTTCAATATTTCCAAGGACCAGAAGTGTGTTTTTCTTTTTTTTCTCAAAGCTGTGGTTGATCCTTTAAAAGTCATTGCAGTTTTCTGTTTATCAGCATTAATACCTGTTCCAATACCTGCTTGATGTAACACATCACAAAGCCCGTATCTGCACAACAGAGAGGAAGAGGGACCTGGAGATTTTCTGGCGACTTTAGACTTTGCTTTCAAAGAATTGTGGTTTCTTTGTATCTCCCATCTCCTACGCTAAATTTGGTCAGATCACCTGTACTTTGGTGACATTTTATCAGAGCCATCATTGGCTGCGTTATAACGCCGTCTAAATCAGTTAGGTGGTGGTGGTGACAATCTGGCTTTGATAAGATGACTTCTCAGCCAGCTTTGGGGAGGCTCCTCATTTGCTTTCAGATAGTTCCTAGGACAATGAGCTCTAATCTGAATTTCCTTTTCTGCTGGACTAAGTCTGCAAAGAGCTGAGAAAGGCAGGAGTTGTTCCAAGCACAAATCTCAGTGGTGTTTTTAATGGGAGAGAAAGTAGAAGGTTGATGGCCTGAGTACGGCCTCTCCTCTGCCGAGACCATACTGCAAAGCCCATCATGGCAGCCCCCTGACAGCACAAAATCTGCTCAAGGACAGTCTTATTTGTTGGCTGGTCTGGGGCCCCCGTTACTGAAGCACAAGAGGAAATCCCAGTTAATGCGATACTTAATCACAAAGTTGTAACAGTATAGTGGAAAGGGCACGGGCTTTGGAATCACACAGTGCTCCCTGATAAACCTCAGGGCACTCTCTTAGCCTTTCCAAGACTCAATTTATCCATCAGTAAAATGAGAATTTTGGTGGACCTTCAACTGTGGTGTGAAAACGAACTGAGCACGTATATTGCCAGCATCTTGTCTGGCGTGGTGCAGTACCAATCAATGTCAGTCCTTTAAGCAGAAAGTTAGACTTGAGATACAGCATAGGTGAATGAAGATGTTCAGAGAGAAATTTCAAAATGCATAAGAGAAGCCAAGCCCAAAGGACATCTATGTGACCCTTGTGCGTTTTCACAAGAATTCTCCCTTCTTTATAGAGCCAGATCTTAATGATTCAATTCACGGCTTCTGTGCTCCTTAAATATTTATTGAGCACACACCCCGTGGCAAGTATTATGCTGAAGGTAGGGGCACAGGGCAGCTTGGGGCAGGGAGGCAGTGGACATGTGAAAATACTAATATGAAACCAGTGTCCCTTTGAATCCAGGAGCCAAGAAAAGACATGGAAACAATTTAATCGCTGCTCGTGTGATAAGCAGGTGCAGTGAGTCCTGCCAATGGAACAAAGCTGGCAGTTAGCGGATCTTCCAAGCTTTCCATGCTGTTTACTCTTCCCCTTGGGTTCAGGCTCATCCGGCAGCAAAATCCTGGACCAGTCGCTTTACCTCTCAAGGCATTTCCCCACCAGTAATGGGTGAATAACGGTCTCTCCCTGTAAAGATTTTCAGAGATAGTATGTATGAAAACTCCTAAGGCGGTCAGCCGTAGGAGTTAACGCAGGATCGCTTTCCAGAGGCGACCGAAGAGGGGAGGTGGGGAAATCCTGGGATCCTTTTATTCCTTGGTGTCAAGTCTGGCAAAAAATTAAGGGATGAAGGTGCGGACAAAAGCCCATGATGCCCTTGGGGATTATGTCTGGATTTGAGTTGCCCACACTGTTGCTGTCCCCTGTCCATCACCGTGGGTAATGAGAAGCGTGAGCCAGCATTCGGCCTGGTGACCTTGGTTCACCATGAGATAAACAAATGAAGCAACTTCTTCTTTTTTTTTTTTTCATTTCAGTGATAAAATGTTCCCAGCCTTTGGGTTTGGTGCCAGGATACCCCCCGAATACACGGTGAGTGAGTGGAGACGGGGTCGTCTTCTCTTTGCTCTAAACGAAGGATCATTTGGGTTTTTCTCCCAGGCCTCACCCTTTTGGCCCTTGATGTAATTACGTACGGCCCAAGAGTCAGAACCAGTGAGATTGGTTCCTTGGAGCCTGTCTTCTGATGACGCCCAATCTGGCATTCTGGGTGGGTCTTCTCAGTGGCCCAAATGAAGGGCTCCATTGTGACCAGCTGTGCAGATGTCCCCAAGGGAAAGACTGTTGGCCACACCGACAGTGAGAGTCCCTGACAGTGAGGTCTGCAGACTCCCTCCCCCAGGCCCCTAAGCACCCGTCTCATGTGGGAGACACAGCGAAGTCCTGTGGGAAGAGCCACCCTGGCTTAGAGAATTTGGAGCTGCGAGGTTCCCACGAAGACGCTGGAATCCTATTTGGTTTTGATACTGATTTCTCACGACACAAGGAAGGCAAAGACTGCGTAGAGAGAGCTGTGCAGCAGTGGAGTTGAGGCCCTCTGCTGCGGTATGCCAGGTGGCCCTGTGGGACACTCTCCACAGGGAACTCAGCTCCCCCAGGGGAGAGAGCCTTGGAGAGGCAGCCGGGTCCCCGCCCTGGCCTCACTGATGCCTCTGAGGTCCAAGTTATATGCAAGCAATACCGCCCAGTTGTCAGTTTCTCTTTTGTGGACCTTGTCTGATCTGCATGACAGGAAGCAGATGCCGGCATCTGTTCCCAGACCAGGGCTGTCAGAGCGAGGGCCTTCCGTGCAAGAGAGAGTCCATCTCCCTTCACTGCTGGGTGAGCAGTGGTGGCGTGACATGTCTCCCTGACCTGTCCCCCTCCTTGTCTGCTTTGTAACCCATACTGGCCTTCCGTGGCTACAGAATTGTAAAAGCATTTGTTGGGGAAAAAAAAGGACACGTGGCAGGGAAGTATATAGAACAAGAGTGGTCGACTGGTGGCCTGTAGGCATTAGTCAGGCCACAAATATATTTGACCCACAGTTTTTTTTTAAGAATTAAACAACTGAATATAAAATGTCAGATTTCTGGCTTCTCTGGGAAAACTGAAAAGTCTTGGTAACACTAAAATTAAAGGATTACACATAGCAAAATTAACCAGCACTCAGGAGATGTAGTCCCCTTCAGGTGGGAATCAGTTCCAGAATGTGGGCAGGTGGATGCCCCCTCCTTCACAGAGCACCTGAGCCGTGAGGCGGAAATGCACCTGGAGCTAAATCCTGGGAGACAGTGCCGTGTGCGCACAGCCCCAAGGAAATAGAAGGCACAGCACCTTCTGTCAGCCCCGGCTCCCAGGGGACGTTCATTCCCCAACACTCTCATCCTGTCACTTGGGCAGGTAAAGCAGGCTCAGAAGATCTGAGAAAAATTTAAGGTAAATAAAGCAGATAAGACAGTTGGCAGTCAGCTGATACTTGCCTGGAGGAGCTAAGGGCAAGGGGAAGTGGGCTGGTATCAATAGTGTCAGCTCTGACAGCCCCCCCCACTGAGAAAAGAGGGGGATTTTAACACGTGACCCATTTTCTAGCCCCTAGAGAGTCAGCGCTCTGGGAAACAGCCTTGGAAATGAAGTCTCTGAAATTCCAAGTGACCCGGGAAAAATGTCTAGATGCCAGGACATCTCTCTTACTTTATGAAGTTTTAGAAAGAAGAACGTAAACCACATGTTATCTGACCTTGGGCGTAGGTCCTGCCGGGTCCTGCCAGGTAGAGGAATTACCATTGGGAGGCTCCAAAGTATGTCACTTGATTACTTTTCCAAAAGCAGTGTCTATTTTTCCTTGTCTGCCTGTGAAGTCCCTCCTGCCCGGCCGTTCAGTATGTTATGCTGGAATGAGCCTTAAACGTCAGCAGCCTAGCTGGGGCCTTTGTAACCATGACCATGATGAGAGACGCTTGGGTTACTGGGTTATCATTTTTTAATCACTGGGTCCAAATAGAACTCAGCCAAACTGAAGCCTCCAGTCTGTGTCCACTTCTATCTGGACGTTATTTGGAGTTACATTTTTCTGAAATCTTTTCTTGGATTTCTTTAGATGCCATCTTCTCCCCTCCTGCCAGCATGTATCTGATTCTAGAAAATCTCCCTGTCACCTTCAACTCCACGGGGAGCTTCGAATTCACCCTCCATCTCAGATTGATTGTGTCAAGGCTTAAAATGGTTCCCACTGCTTAACACAGAATGAATGAAATGGGCATGTGCTTGCAAACTCTCGCCCCCCAGTGCCTCCTTACTGGGTTAAAGTTGTTAATTCTCCCTTCTTCCTTTTTTCATTTGAATGGGTGTCCAGGTCTCTCACGACTTCGCAATCAACTTTAACGAAGACAACCCGGAATGCGCAGGTGACTCCTGACGTGGCAGAAAGCCAGTGTCTCGCGGCCCCTCTGTTTGTGCTTCCCCACTTGAGTGCCTCTCTCCTGATGCGGTACCTCCAGTGTGCTTGTCCCTGGGCGAGAAGTAGGCTCACTGTGTCGAAATAAATATGCTACTCCCAAGATAGCAAAGAGCCTTCATCACACAGCAGAGAAATACTAGTGGGAAAGGATGAGATCTGTTTATTTTTCACAACCACCTCTGTGAAGGTTTAAGGAGAGGGGGGAGCATGGAATCATTTGACGCTCTCAGCATGTGGGCAAAGGATGTGGCCTCCAGGTCTTCAAGCCAGTAGCCTCATGGTTGTCAGCCAGCAAGAGCCTCTCGAAGGCCGCTGTCCGTGGTCTCTATTTCCGGCTAGAAATTCCCGGCATGGTTCCACAGAAGAATGACAGCTATGATGAGAAATTTCACTCAGAATTATTTTACCTGCTTCCTAAATAATAAACAGAGCTGAGGACACGTGTTGCTCTGAAAGTGATCAGACGCTTTTCTGGTGGGGTGGTGGGAATGTCTGGGTTTCCCCCCTTGTGCTCGTCAGGGAGGTGGGGGCTGAATGGGTCAGTTAGATCCTGTTGGGGGTCTGAGCATTTGAGCTTCTTTCACAAATTGAGCACAAACGGTCCAAGAATGTGACGTCAGTGTCACCAGGTCTGCACATGACAACCTCTGAGCCCAGACCTTCCCTCTATCCTGATTTTTTCTCACAGTCCCTCACACCCAGTTTGTTATAGTTTTGGGTTCCCTCATCCCAGACCACCCCCGCCCTTAAACCATAAGAATGGTTTTCCACCAGAGCTGAATGAAGAGCGTATCCAGTGTTAATCTGTTTCGTGTCTTAGGATTCAGCTGCCTGGTACTTTTGGGAGAAGAATCAAACTGGCGTATCTTAGGCAAAAACCTCAGGAACCAGAAAAGCTAGAGAGCTTCTGCTCAACATGACTTAACTTCAAGACCAGGCAGCGTAATGACTTGGCATCTCCCTGACTTTGGGATGGCAGGCTTAGGGGCTGCACAAAGAGAATGCAGTGTTTTCAAGCATTTTCATACAAATTTGATTACACGCATGTATACAAAGGCAGAACAGAATAGAATTTGGGTGGAAGCCCTGCTTTAAACAAGGAGGTGACCATGGTGGTAGATGTCCCTCATCTGTACTCTGGTCCCCAGTAGATGACTGTGTTGGTTGTCACAATTTGGTGAGCAGCTGCCTTGAGCTCACGAGGGAGTTAGTCGCAAGTCCTCCACACAGGGATTCAAACACCAGGAGAGACGGTTGTGTGCACCCGTAACCCACACAGGTGGCCCAGGGTGGCACGTGCTAGGGTGGAGTCACCCAGATGGGGTGACAACAAGAGGAGGTTGGAGCTGGGAGCTCAGCTCTGAGAGGACACCTGAGTCCACGGCAAACCTCTCTAAGCCTCAGTTTCTCCACCTGTTGAGTGGATGTAACATCCTTTTCATGATGATGCGAGTATCTAATGAAATCTGTGGTGTAAGGAGAGACCTTAGGGGGTCGTTTGTGGAGATGGTCACATTTGACTTGAACCTTTAAGGAGACTGATTTCAGCAGGAGGAGAGGCAGCAATACCAGGATGGGGGTGTTTCCTCTGATCTGGAGACCATAACTGTGCTGTTGATAAGGATGCTTGGGGGACTGAATGCTTCATTTGTGTGTGTGTGATTATAAATGTATTTAGACTCTTGAACTGTTGATCTTTGCCAATTTCACGACAGGAATCCAAGGCGTCGTGGAAGCCTACCAGAGCTGCCTTCCCAAACTCCAGCTCTACGGCCCCACCAACATCGCCCCCATCATCCAGAAGGTCGCCAAGTCAGCGTCCGAGGAGACCAACACCAAGGAGGCATCGGTAAGCAGAGGGTCAGCCCGCTCATGGGCATTTTCTACCTGGATACTGGCCACAGCCCCACCCCACTCTCGCAATAAATGTGCATTTCTACCTGTCTGAGTTTGGACAAGTGACTTGACCTTCCCTGTCCTCAGTCTCCTCATCTGAAAAATGAGGATGATTGGGAAAGGAAAAAAAACTGTCCAAAAATAAGCTTGCTTCCCAGTGTACCCATAGTACAGATGCAAGTGAGGCCAAACAGAAGCAAACGGCAGTTGTTCTGCCCTGGGGTCAAGTGAAGTGATGCACATCATCACAGTGAAGGCTTGTTTCACGTTCTCTTAGTGGTTTTCTTAAGGGAATTGCACACCAAGGCTACAAGACCAAACAGTTTGCTTTTTTCCCTAACATATTAGAGTTAAATATACTACCATAATGGCTTTTCTGTGTTATCATTTTAATAACATCAATATGTTTCTTCTTTAGCTTGATGATCTTTTTTCAGATTTAGCAGACTATTAACTGATGTCTGAAATTTTCTGTATGATTTTGCCCTGAGTTCCAAGATGCTGCATTCACATAAAGAAATGCTGTGCTCCTCCTTTGTCTTCCTCCCTCAGCTCGTCTGCCCCCCAGTGTGCTGTGCCCGTGTTCCCAGCCCTCCCTTCCGGTGGGTGGCCAGGGACCACACTCTCGTCTCATGTCAGCGCCTCCTCTGGGCACGTTGCCCTCCAGTGTCCAAGGATGCTGACCTAGTGTCACACTCCCTGTTTCTCCTTATCATCTGTTCTTTTCCTTCCTACTGAAGACTCACTCCTGGTAGCATAAAACACGCTCCCAGTAATTCCTACTGAAGTTAAGAGCTCTCCCTTGACACCACTTTCCTCTTTAGCTGCTCTCCCTTATTTTACTCTTGGTTAGAGCAAAATTCATTGAAAGAGTTCCTGTCTTCCCCTTCTCCATCTGTCCTCCCGTTGGCCTCTCCACCCAGACCACCCCGACTCTCCTCCCTGACACCCCTCTGAAGACCACGCTTGTCAAAGTCCACAGCACCTCCATCTTGCCGAACCCACAGAGGCCTCAGAGCAAATCTGAATCCTCACAGATGCAAGATTTAGGGATAGGCTTGGACAGGATCAGTATTTTATTTTATTTCTGACCTTTTTATTTTAATCACCAGAACTTGACATTCAAATTCATTAAATGATACCTGGCTCAGAAACCCAACCTGTAAAACAGATTTTAAGAAAACAGACTGTCTTTGGTAAATCTGGGCACGGGCTCGGTCCACACTTGTCTGTTCTCCTTGACTTCCTTCATACCAAGAGCACTCCAACAGATCCCTAGGGCTCCCAGGAGCCCAATTTGGGCTCATCTCAGCCTCTCTGGGGCACCAGGACCACTCGAGTGGAAAGAAAAGCTGGCATAGGTCTGTGTTCTGTACTGGTAACAGCCAGCATGAGATCGTGGCCATGACTCACTTCCCCGGGGACAGGTGGGGCTGCTCTGAAGGGCAGGTCAAGGGAGAATGCAGGAAGTAGCTAATTCACATATTCTCAAATAAATCCCTCCCACAGGCCGGGACCACTGGTGCTTTTCCCCACAGGTTTCTACTGTCTTCTGAACAGTGTGTGGTCCAGGGCCTGTGCTATTCTTGGTCACTAAGGGTCCTAGCCTTGAACCTTCCAGGCAAGTTGTACCAGGAAGTCTGTGACGGTAGGATTTTTTTCCTTGATTTTGTGAAACTCTTCTAGAAAGAAAAAAAAAAGTCCCTTCCTTATGTAAACAGGACCTCAAGTGCATTCAAAGATTTTACCGTTTTACTCATGAGCATTTTCCTTGGCTGACTCTGGAAGCAACCGTTACTGCTGGCTTTACTGGAAATTTGCATCAGAGTTTTGATCTAGCAAGACTGAACCAAGAAGGATCAGATTATAGAATCCTGGCAGTCTCTTCCAACCAGGGCTTCTTAACCCTTTTTGTTTCGGGGACACCCTTAGCAACTGGTGAAGAAGCCCTTGAACTCTTCTTAGACTGCACAAAATAAAATACGTTATTATAAAATAAGCTAGTTAGATTGAAATGCATTTAGCAAAACATATTTAAACGTGACATAGAAGCATCGTAAATGGAGTAACAAAATTAAATGATGAGAATTTGTGGCTGGTCTGATAATTCTGTAATTTCTCAGTAGTGTTGAATGTAAATGGTATTTTGAGATATTTGCAGCCACTGTAATGAAACAGGAACCTAGTCTGTGATATCTCCTGGTGACTCAGTCACAAGTACGGCTAAAACTAATTTTATTTGTTGATGATACTGATAGTGAAAAAAAAACGATACATTTTAGTTAGAGGTTAGTGAAAATAAAACTTTAATTGACCCCAGTGTCACAGGCTTTCTGAATTCCTTCAACTCAGCTGTCCAGAGGCCCAGGTTAAGAGCCCTGCTCTACTGGAGAAGTCAGCTACATTGTGCAGCATGTCTCTCAATGGCTTGCAAACTGCAAACGGTTTTTACATTTTTAAGTGGCTGGAAAAAAAATCAAAAGAAGAAGAGTATTTCATGGCACAGAAAAGTCATATGACATTCAAACTTCAGGGTCCATAGTTATATGGGACCTCAGCCATGCCTGGTCCTATGAAGTTCTGTCTGTGGCTGTTTTCACACTGCACTGGCAGAATGAAGTCATTGCCACAGACACCACCACAGCCCACAAAGCCTGAAATATTTTCTATAGTCCCTTTACAGAAAATATTTTCCCAACACCCACTCTAGACCAGGACAGCCATAAACGTTCTTGATGTGGTCATGTGACTGTCAAGTGTTTTGTTCCTGGAGACACTGACTGAGGGGCTAATCCATGCCCTGGACCATGGAGATCAGAGCAGACAGGAGTTAGGGGAGGGTGGGGAGCAGAGGAGGGGGTACAGAGGTGGGATTCACTCAGGAGCCCATCTGCTTGGGACTCAGGAGTCTGCGTCCAGGCGTGGTGTTTGCTTTGGCCTCCGAGACACATCCTGGGGGGGAGGGGGTGATTTATGGTCCTGGTGTTGTCTCCAAGCCACCCCTCCTCCCTGCACCCCCACCTCCTCCATCATTTCACCCTACTGAGACCATCCTCCAAACTCCCAGGCTACCTTCTCTGTGAACATATAAAACTCAAAAAGCATAGGTATGGATGAAAATTTACAACTTGAATGGATTTGAAACTTGCTGGGCTAGAACTCGGTGAGCAGTCAGTTAGTGGACCGGGAACAGAGTTCATCTTTATATCAAACTGTGTGGAAAGCCTTCAGAACACGTGCTGTCTTCATCGCAGTGCAAATTTCTCTTCTCTCCAGTTGTCCTTTTGACTGAGACATTTTGTTTAGAAACAGGTTTTTTCAGACTAACCAAGAAAAATGGGAACTCTTTCATACTGCCAGCCTATTTGCAACCTTTTCAGTGTGATTCTCCAAACCAGATGTTTTCCAAATGTGATTATCCAGTCTAGCTTTTCTCCTTTGAAACAGGGCAACTTGGAATGGTTTACTTGTCCCGTGTTTACTGCCCCCGCCCCGTAGATGGGGCGCCCTTCGCAGATTATACTCAGAGTTCTTTTGCGTTTGGCAGGAGCAGCATGTCAGTGACCTCTCTCCTCCCCTCTCAATGTGGAGGCTGTCGTGATGCCACTGACGACAGTGGTGACCTCCCCTGGGCCTTCCTTCTCCAGACCCCCTGTGCGGATGGGTACAGAGTCTGCTCTCCAACCTCCATCTCCGGGGGAAGGGCCTGGCGGGGCTGCAGGCTGAGACCCGGGACTTGGAGCCGGAGGACCCTCCTCCCCACATGCTTAGAGCTGGGCAGCACCTGCAAGGCAGTCACTGGCCCGGGTACATGGCCTCAGAGGGGAGACGGCAGCCCTCAGCTCTCCAGCAGGGCTTCAGCCATGAGAAGTATAATGGGAGCCATGGAGCAGCTTTAAATAGTAAACAGTAAATGGTAGCCACATTTTAAAGAGATAATAGAGCAAGGAGGATGTAGCTCAGTGGTGGAGCATGTGCTTAGCATGCACAAGGTCCTGGGTTCAATTCCCAGCCCCTCCATTAAAAATTAAATAAATAAACCCAAACCTCCCCCCAACAACATAAAACAAATAGAGTTAATAGATTTGCAGATACTGACTGGTATATATATAAAATAGATAAACAAGTTTATATTGTATAGCACAGGGAAATAAATCCAATATCTTGTAGTAGCTCATGGTGAAAAAGAATATGAAAATGAATATATATAATTCATGTATGACTGAAGCATTGTGCTGCGCACCAGAAATTGACACAACATTGTAAAACTGACTACACCATAATAAATAAATAATTAATAAGTTAATAGAAATAGGGAAATTAATTTTAATAATAATTGATTTTATCTAACCCACTGTAACTAAAACAATTATCATCTTAAGATATACTCTGTATAAAAAATATTGATAGAATATTTTCCATTTTTTTGGTCCTAAGTCTCTAAAAGCCAGTGTGTATTTCATTTTATTGATACTTACATCATCTCAATTTGGATGCTAAATTATCATCAAAAATACTCAGTTTTTATTTAGATTTTATAAGTTGATCACTGAAAAAGTAGGTAGTTGTTCTAAATATACTTAAAAGATTTCCAGTGACTCAATCCAGTATCCATTTTTTTTCAGTTAAATTTAAATTGATGTGAATGAAAATTACAAATTCAGTTTCTCCATCACTCCAGTCACATCTCAAGGACTCGGGAACCCCGTGGAGCTAGTGGCTATTGTACTAGGCAGCTCAACTTTAGACTCTTGAAAATCTGCTAAAGAGGCCGGTATAAACCGTCTAGTCCCACCCCTCACTTACGAGATGGGGAGGCCAAGACCCCAGGGGCTGAGGGTTCTCCCAGCATCTCAGAGCCGAGGCTTTGAGGCCAGCCCTCCTGACTCTTTTGCTTTGTGTGCTGTCACTAAGGTGCCAATTAGAATTAACCCGCAGTGACCGTGCCTGCCTTTGAGCTGCGTTCACTGCCAGCCCTCAGTCCTCGGGCTGTCAGCACAGGCACTTGGAAAAGTCTGTCACCCCTCTTGCTGTGGTTGGTCTGTGCTGAAGGCACCAGGCGCGTAACTGGCTTTGTCTTGTCTCCCCATCTGTCTGTCCCCCAACGTCCCATCGGCGGTAGCAATACTTCATCCTGCTGATCCTGACTGATGGGGTCATCACGGACATGGCGGACACGCGGGAGGCCATCGTCCATGCCTCCCACCTCCCCATGTCAGTCATCATCGTGGGTGTGGGCAACGCAGACTTCAGCGACATGCAGATGCTGGATGGGGATGACGGAATCCTGAGGTCACCCAAGGGGGAGCCAGTCCTCCGTGACATCGTCCAGTTCGTGCCCTTCAGGAACTTCAAACATGTATGTATAGCTTGGGGGAGGGGAGTCCCTGTTTCTCCACCAGTGTTCACAGTGAAGCAGGGCCAGCCGTCCCTGCCAGGCCAGGACGTCCCACGCAGGATGAGGAGTCCTGCTAACTGTGTAGCAGCGTTTCACTGCAGCATGGCCTCATCCACAGAACTTAGGGTCTCTGGTGCGCCAGGGCTGCCATGGACAGTTGGGCAGGTTGCAAGAGAAGTTGAAATTCGGCCTTCTTCTCTTTGTCAAGCCACGTGCCCTGGCAGAGGCCTATGTTGCCTTGGCAAAGTATATTTTCAAAATGATAAAAACCTAAATCCTCTATCATTATATAGTAAGCAGCATCCGAGATGGATTTAATTCATGCCTGAGGGAGCCAGCAAGATGACAAAGCTGGTTCAAAGCATGATGTTAAACAGTCGTTTATGGTCAGTTTGCTAAAGCAGCATCTGAACTCATAAGGACCAACAGGGTTTAAAAAAAATCATCCGAAGATTCCCTCTGGGGACGTTCCCAAGCCCTCGAGTTGTAGGGCATCCCCCAGCGTAGGCATAAGGCAGCACGGCATGGCATCGTCTCGCGGGGGGGCGTGCTGGAGCAGGCGGAGTTCTCTGCCGTTGTGCCATGTTCGTCCATGCATATGCTGGCTTGCACATTGCCCAAGGTGGGGAGAGGGCTGTCCTTCCAGACTGATGTCCTGCCCCATTTTGTTGGCCAGACAGAGGTAGCCACAGGACTGACCACCACCCATAACTTGGCCCGAGTGAGAAGAGGGGTCCAAGAGCTCCCTCCCTAGGAATATCATCATATTCCCCAAACCACCCTCTCCCTACCCTCCCCCCCACACCTGTGGGCTAAAGCAGTGCCCTGGGGCCATGCAGGGCTGCAACCTCGTCCCCAGCCCCTCCCTCCCTCACACACTTCAAGTGTGCAAGGCGTGTGCCAGCCCTGGGACCACCATAGATGACGAGCTGTGGGTCCCTGCCTCCAGGAATTTACAGAGAAATGCCCTGCTGGGACACAGGCTAAGTGACCTGGGAGAAGGGGGATTGCAGAGGGCTGACCTGTCGCTCAGAACCTGAGAGCCAGGTGCCAAAGTCACAGCTCAGGTGAGGCTCAGATTCTACATGTCTCATCAGCTCCCGTGCGAGGTGACCTGCCTGTCTGTAGCCCAAGGCATGTTCTGAGTCACAGGAGGGTTCGTTTCTGCCCCACCAGTCTCCCTCATGTGACTGTACGTTTCCCAGTGGCAGAACCATAGACCTCATCAGCCTGAGTGTAGGGCCTGGAGCAGAAACTATGTCTGGATATGAAGCTCAATCAGACACAAAACAATGGAGCAAGTCTTCCAACCATCCAACTTTCACCCATCCTCAGATGTGAATAGTTTTACATTTTGAGGCAGGCAAGAAAAAATATAATTATGAAATGGAAGGTTTATTTTCCAGTAGTTGGACCACTCTTGCTTGGAGTAGATGCTGGACAAATGCTGAAGGAAGGAAGGAAGGAAGGGAGGAAGGAAGGAAGGAAGGAAGGAAGGAAGGAAGGAAGGAAGGAAGGAAGGAAGGGGGCTCAGAGCAGGACTTGCGTCTTTTAGTCTGATTCTGGGACAGAGTCTGTGGGCCGGGTGCCACGGTCACGGTGATTTCTTCTTCCCCGCAGGCGTCTCCAGCAGCCCTGGCAAAGAGCGTGCTGGCTGAAGTCCCGAACCAGGTGGTGGACTATTACAACGGCAAAGGGATTAAGCCAAAATGTTCGTCAGAGGTGTACGAATCTTCCCGGACACTAGCTCCATGAACTCCACGCACTTTACAGGGTTCTGAAATACTACTCCTGCCAATATTTAATATTTCTGCTCCTGTACTGAAGCACACACATACACATTAAAACTAGCACGTTTTGGTGATTTTTAACTAATCGACGATTTTTTTTCTGCATGTGTAGCCCCGAGGCCTGGATCTATGAGGCCCTTGCATCGTTAAAAGACTTTTTACAAAGAAACACAGATAATTATCCCTTACTCCCTACGTTACAGCATGTTTGCCTTGAAGTAAAACGGTATCTGTATCCGTTTTTTATACAGGTTTGTTGAAATTTTGCTAAATTTCTTATTACCTTTACACTGTAAAGCATTTTGAAACACTCTTCGAACGTTGATAGCCAACACATATTTGGTTTTATCTGCTACAGGGTGAGAGACTTTTTAAAATGGCAGCTGCATGGACTGTATTTTGCATGTTTAAAATAAAAAAAAAAAAACCACCACACTGTTGTTGTTTTTTTTAATTGAAGTACATACTGTCAGTTGCGATGTGTCAATTTCTGGTGTACCGCACAATGTCCCAGTCATGCAGATACATATCACACTGCTTATTGCAGTTGTTAATCTATTTCTAATTCCTCCCTGCTGAGAATGGTCTCTCCACTGAAGAAGAGGTTTAGCCACCTGGAGATGGGCTCCCTGATGTGGTCCTCCGAGTCTACTGTGTGTACACATCACCGGAGGAGCTTGTTAAAATTTAGACTGTGATGCAGCAGGTCTGCGTGGGCCCAGGATTCTAGCTCTAACAAAGTCCCAGGTGATGCCAGTGCGGTTCTAAGACAGAGGTTCTAGATTTCAGGGGGTGGTGGCAGAGGCCCTCCCAAACTGGGCAGCACCTCATCTGCTGGCGAACGGCCCTTCTCCCCTGGCTCCGAGGTGGGAGTGGAAACTAATGAGACTGATTCCAGAAGCTGCACCCCCACCCCCTGCTTTATGGTGGTCACACCTCTTCCTTAAACCAACTAGGGAGTGGTCCTCCTGGCCAGCCCTGCCCTCTGAAAGGAGGTGTCATCCGCCCCGGCCTGATGGTCCTGTGTTGATGTCAGTCCCCAGGAGTGGACTCAAAGAGCTTCAGTAGACCCAGGACAGTGGGAGCTTGTCACTGCAGGTGGCCACGTGGGTGGCCCTCCAGAAGGGCGGCCCACCAGGCTGACCTTCATACTTAGGGTAGCGGGGCTTCTTTCCTCCTCTCTGTCCCTCCTGATCACAGACTCTATCCACCCAAAGGCCTGGAGTCGCTGCTTTGGGTGAAGGTGTTTTGTTTTGCTATAAACTGGCCTGTCTTGAACCATAAGAATGCATGTTTCACTTGTATAATCTTCTTGCAGAGAAACAGAAAAGTGTTTTGTCAGCAAAAAAGGCACAGGGTGTACTCCATTTTTGGTCAGAGAGATGGGAAAGTCAACCTCAAGGTAAAATCGATCTGTTGACTTTATGTTTGTTGAGGAGGGAAGTGTTAACAAACCAATCAAATGCCTTGCATGATTCCAGTGTTAGAACTACAGATCCTCACCTTGCAAGTACGTGTCAGCCAAATGCACGTCTGGGGATAATGGTAAAAATGTATGACTGGAAAAAAATCATAAATACTTAAACTGTATTATTTTATGAATAAATTATTTTATGAATAAATTGGGTACTTATAAAATTTTTCTAAGAGTTATAGTCTTGTTTTTCTTTTCAAGGCAATTTCTTTTTTTTAATTGAAGTATAATTGATTTACTATGTTGTGTTAGTTTCTGGTGTACAGCACAGTGATTCAGTTATACATAAATATATATTCCTTTTCATATTCTTTTTTATCATAAGTTATTACAAGATATTGAATATAGTTCTCTGTGCTATACAGTAGGTCCTTGTTGTTTATCTATTTTATATATAGTAACGTGTATCTGCGAATCCTGAACTCCAAATATAAATAAGTTCATTTGTGTCATATTTTTAGATTCCACATAGAAGTGATACCATATGATATTTGTGTCTCTCTTTATGGCTTTCTTTACCTAGTATGACAATCTCCAGGTCCATCCATGTTGCTGCAAATGGCATTATTTTATCTTTTTTATGGCTGAGTAGTATTCCATTGTATGAAATATATCACAGCTTCTTTATCCAGTCATCTGTCAATGGACATTGAGGTTGTTTCCATGTCTTGGCTATTGTAAATAGTGCTGCTGTGAACATTGGGGTGCGTGTATCTTTTCAAGTTAGAGCCCTCTGGATCTATGCCTAGGAGTAGAATTGCTGGCTCATATGATAAGTCTATTTTTAGTTTTTCAAGGAACCCCCTCGAGGCAATTTCTGAACAGTGATTTATTTCCTGTTGGTGATGTGGCCCCGGGTGAAGAATAGCTCCTTCACAGCCCCACAGAAGCATGTAGGTCATTGTTTTTAACAGACAAGGAATTAAAATACTTGAACCTTGTCCTGTAGAAATAGCTGGTGGTTGTTTCTAACCCAGAACAAGGACAGGAACTTCCATGCCTTTGTGCCAGGAACATAGTAAGCGCTCAGTAGATGCTTAATGAACACAGAGACGACTGATCAAATGAGTGAGTGTGTGGGAGAAGGGATGCGTGGACGCGTTCATGTGCCCCCTGGTCAACATCTAGTCCTGGAGATTCAACAGGCAGGTTAACTGGCTGTGGCTGTCAGTCTCAAATATCTGTCTGGATCTCCAACATTCATGTCAGTCTCAAATATCTGTCTGAATCTCCAACATTCATGTCAGGATTCCTGGGATCTGTGAGCTGGGTGGTGAGGACAGAGTCCAGGTTTCCTAGCGGGACCTTAAGGAAGTCAACGTCCCTTGTCACAGCCAGACTCAAGCCCTGCTCAAAAAAAATAATAAAAATAACAGCTAACTGTGCACCAGCCGCTGTTCTAAGTGCTTGAGAGAATACTGTCTCATTTAACTCTTCCAACAGCCCTGTAAGGTAGATAGTATTATTAGTCTCATTTTGTAGGTAAGGAAACTGAGACAGTGGGAGGGTAGAACTCAGGGGTAGAGCATGTGCTTAGTATGCACAAGCTCCTGGGTTCAATCCCCAGTGCCTCCATTAAAAATAAATAAACTTAACTACTCCAAAGAAAAAAAGAATTTTTTAAAAAAGAAACAGAGACACGCAGAGTTTGGGTAACTAACTCAAGGTCACGCAGCTATCCAAAGGCATCACCCGGATTTGAACGCAGATGCTCTGGCTCTCGACCCCAAACTCACTTTATAATCCCTGTTTCAGCTCCCTCCTGCACTCTCCCCAGCCACTTGCCATATTCTGCAGCAGATTATTAAGCTATCTGAGAGAATGAGTCAAAGCATGATCTTTGCCTCTGTTTCAGAAATCCCTGTCTCACCCAAGGACCTCATCTTCTTTACAGGAGCACCTTGCGATGTTCAGCATCCCCCTGGGAGCAGAGGAAGACTCAAGATACACCCGGGTCTTCCGAGCTTCATGCTACCAAGGAGACCACATTGAGACACTTGGAACACGGATGCTTCTGGTGCTGAGCGATCATGTGAACACCTGAAGAGGAGCGATCTACACGGAGTAAGGTAAGGAGCCGGGCGTGGCGAGGATTCAGGAAAACTGGAAGGGTTGTGTCCAGAGGCAGGTGGCCCCAGCCAGCTCCAGGTGCCAGGCAGGAACACAGACCCAGTGAAGCCAGGCCACCCAGTGTTTCAGGGCAATTGAAAAATGCGGCATTTCACGTAAAACCTACTGATTTGCAAATATGGAAAATTCATTCAAAATTCAACCATTTTCACATGCAAAGGACCAAGGTGTATGAGTCAAATGAAAACACCTCTGGGTTTATGTGGTCTCTGAAGTGCAAATTTGGAACCACTGAGTTATATCCACCACCAGGTCTCAACAGGTAATGTACACTCTGAATCTCCCCAAAGAGATTATATGTCTGTGGTTTATGGCTACCGATACTTGCTGTATTTGAAATTGAAACTGAAAATATAACACATTTATTAATTCACTGGCATAATAATATACCCATAAGTTAGTAACATAAAAATATTTTTACAAAAATCTGTATTTTCAAAACCAAAAAAACAGCAAAATAAGCAGCCTTGTGTGTCTTGCTTAATAAAAGCCAGCTGGGTTCTCACACTGACTTCTGCGGTCAACCTGTCGTGAAGGGATGTCTTGGCTGAGGTACAGTGATGAAGATCTCACCTTACATGGCTCTGGAGTTGGTAAGGGGAGGGGTATTCGTAAGATAATTGTGCTAATTCTTTGTATCACAGCAAAGTCAACAAGTGGTAGCTTCTCCAAGGTGAGCTGCAATTTGGAAGATGGAAAAGCATAACAACGAGTGTTTCCTGGCCTTTTGCATGGCTGTTTGACCTACGTGTGTTTTGTAACATCACACTTTGGCCCTTTGGAAAATACTGACCCGCTCCATTATTCAC